ATATATATATATATATATATATATATATATATATATACATGGGTGTATGTTTATATAGAGAGAGTTCTAATGGAAAACAGAAAATATTTTATTACTATTAATCTTACTTTCTCTTGAAATAATTTCTAATTAGACGTGAAAGATTGAAAATTTTAGTCATCTGGAGATAATCTCAATTTAAATTGGTCACTTAGATTTAAATTAAAATATCTTTCTCCTTAAGCATCATTCATGATATTAAAAATATTAAAATTAAAAATATTTTTTGAAATTTAAATACTTATTTCACCATCTAATGCTAATTGTAAAGTTTAAGAAAAAATTTAAATATGTATAAAGATGGATGCGTGTGGAAATATGTAAATGTATATGTTTTTGTATATGTATATGCATATATACCGATGTATATTGATATATGTGTATGTGGTTATATATGTCATTATACATGTATATGGAAGTGTTTTACGTAAATATGTATGTAGTGTATGTATGAAAAAACAGTAATTTTTTTTTACTATTACCTTCAAATCTTACTCCATCTTGATTTGAAACCTAAACTTTAATTAAGAAATATTACCCATCTAAAATAGATAAAAATTAAATCCATGAATTAGACTCTAACTGATAAAGATTTTACCTTAACAGTCATTCACAATATTAAAATATTACTATAAGTAAATTTTTATTTTTTTTATTATTGTTGTTTATTAATATAGTATTCGACTTTTAATATTAATTAAATCCCTAATAAATTTGTGGAGAAGTTGAATATTTAAATTGCGAACAAGCATTAAATTTAATTTCTTTGTGGAATTTTTAAACATTTAAATTACTATCAAACGTTAAAATCTGTTTTTATCTAAAAAGCCATACCACCCCTCTCCTTCCTACAAAAACCCTACGTACATCTCTTATCTCTTTACTTCCCCCTTTTTTCTTTTTCCCTTTTCTTATATCATTTCCGTTGAGTTGACAGATTAAATAGGTCAATGTCTGATCCTTACCCACCCCTTCCTCAATATTAAGTGTTATAATAAAAAGAAATATAAAAAGAAATTTCAAACCCCTCCTTTTCCTCTCTAAACTCGATCATGTCTCTCACACTATTCTTCGCCACCTTTTATGTCAACTTATATAAGCTTAATACTGCCCGTCAAAAGTGTAAATTTTAAATTCATTTTTCGTTTCACCTTTTTAAAGTGATGTCTGAAGATCTAGAGAAAAATAAAATTCCCTGGTGAAATAAATCATTACAAATAAAGTGGTCTGTTTTTCTTTAAATTAATATATATATTATATATATTAGTCTATTCATATATATATATATATATATATATATATATATATATATATATATATCTGTGTGTGTGTGTTTATAAATGTAAAAGACAATAGGAAAACTGTAATAGTTGCCGACGCTTTTCGTCCGATGTGGACTTTTTCAAGGCGAAATAAAATGAATTTATTAAACAAAGTAACTAATAATAACAAAGCAAAATGTCCTTAGCAACTGGAAAGAACGCTATTTTCATACTGTTAACTGAAAATTACGTCAATTGCTGTCACCTGTGGAGATATTGTTATTATTACTGTGTTGACGGATTCAACCATTTTCTTTTGATTTCTTGATACTGTACATTTGTTTGGGAGAGTAGTAATTCTGTTAAGAAAGGTGAAATAGGGAAAAAGTTTGGACGTAGATTAATATTTGGGTAATATTCAATGGCGGAACTCTCGAGGATTTTCCTTCTGAGTGAGTTATTTTCTTTTTATGAGTTTAGCATTTTTAAAATCAAATTTTGTGGTTGAATTTATTTCTGTGTATGACTAGTGCATTAGCTAAGTTGTTTTTTGTGAGGTCACTTTTGTGATTAAAAATGAGATTTTAAAAATTTTCTACTTATTTCATATTGGGAGGAACAGTTTTGGCAATTTATTTTATAAATGCCTGCTCCAGAAACATTATTTCTATTAGTGTTTGAGGATTTGAGTATATCCATAATGGTTTTGGAAATGTTTGCGACTATTTTAATATTATTTCGATGGGATAGGTTATGCTGGATAGTGGACACGACTGAGTTGGTAGGTAGTATTATGTATCTGTTTTCATGTAATTTATTATTACGGATTATGTTATTATTTTTATTTCGGCTGTATATTTTGTATGACTTTCTTCTTGCGTTGTGGATGAAATTATATGGGTATTGTAGGTTTTTGAATGTTTTCTATGTATGTTTCTTCTTTAAGTAAATATTGGGGACTACAGATTCTTAATGCTCTTAGATAGAAAGCTATAATAATTCCAGATTCAATTTTAGAAGAGTGGTTTGAGTAGGAACTGATCAGATCATTTTTGTTTGTAGATTTTCTGTAAACATAAAAATTGAATTCGTTATTATTTCTATGTAATATGATGTCTAGGAACGGAAGAGTGTAGTTGGTTTCAGTTTATAAAGTGAAGTTTATTGTAGGTTCAACGTTCTTAAGTTTGGAGAGAAGATCCATCAAATTAGTGTTTTGTGGATATATTAATAATGAGTCGTCTATGTATTTGAAATGTGAAGAGTTTGTAGGGAGAATATTTTTGAATGGGCCAGTTTCTAGGAATTCTAAAACTAAACAAGTAAGAATGTCGCTGAGAGGAAATCCCATTGGTAAACCAAATTTCTGTCTGTAATGTTGGTTATCGAAAGTTAAGAACATTGGTATTTATATTTTTTAAGATCTTATTTTTTCATTTTATTCTTTATTTTATTATTAATTGTTATATCCTGATCGTTATGAAAAGTTAAAGTTATTTTATTTATGAAATTTTTAAAGTACTTAAATTCTATTATTACTTAGGTAATTATTTATTTTGCACTTATTTTATTCAAGCATAATCCGATACCTCAAACAATATTATATGGAAATAAAAATTGCTACCATTCATAACAGTTATAAAATATTTCGGAATATGTTGTGGCCCTGAAAAGGGACGTTTTTCTCTTCAGTTGCCTCTTTGAATGTCCTTAGAAGTGAAATGAAACATGTGTCTACATCCGAAAAGCTTTATATGAGCAGAATTCTCCCAAAGGGGGGACAACCCTTGAAACACGTGACCGTTTAATGATAATGTCACGCATGAAACACCATACTTAAAAACACAAAAAATTTTCATTATTTTAAAAAGTTTTGGTATGATTATTTGTATCAAGCTTTTCAATTTGCATTTAGCAAATATAGTCTTCACTTAATAAGCTAATAACCTAAATTTGACGACGTTTGGAAGAATTTTTAAAACATTATTAAAATTTTATTAATTATTATAATTAAATAAATGCAAACAATTTTTGTAAAAGTTCATCATTCATCTTTTTTCTTCAGACTATAATGTACTTAGTATATATTATTTATAAAAGCAATTGAAAGCTTATCTTATTAAATAATTAAATAGTTTTATTGCAGTTTTCATTTTACCAGGATTTGAAACAAATAATTGATGACTTACATTCTGGCTTTTAATAGAAAACATAATCGACGATTTTAATTTCTAAAAATTTCATGAAATTAACTAAGTGGGTGGTAGCAGATGCATATATATATATATATATATATATATATATATATATATATATACACCAAGATTTTCAAAAAGTAATATTTGAAAAAATAAATTCCTTCATTTGTAAATAAGCCCTGCAGAAAGTATCATTAAAATCCGACAATTACAGGATTTTTGTCTGACTTTCCAAATTAATATGTTATTTTAGCAGAAAACAAGAGCGAAAATGTCCATAAGAAGCTCTGCCGTAAAGTTGAAGCATAAAAAACAAGGAATTAAACAAAAATTTCGAACGTGTTAAAAGCAGTAAAAATTTAAAAAACAATTAAAAAATACTTTACTCTTTCTTCTTAATAATAATGTGCAGGGAAATTTATCCCGGTTTTTCCTGCATCAAAGGGTAAAGTTTTAAAAACTGCAAGATTAGAGCGGACAAAGTCTCTCTTTTAGGCGCGGACGAATAAAGAAAAAAACTCCTGCTCGGTGTGTAACAAAAAAAGAAGGAAGTGATTATTAACATATACAGAAAAAGAAAGGGTAAAGGGATAAAAAGACAATTACTAGCGAAAGAAAGGGAGAAGAGAAAATGTCCATTAAGGGAAGAGAAAATGTTCATAGGACTAAGAGAAAAAAAGTTTTGCAAGTAAAAAGTAAGAGGTTGGAGTGAAAATAGAAAAAATAGCGAGAATGCGAACTTGTAAAATATTTGTCAATATTTCTGAGATGAGGTATTGTGTACATTATTTACGTTATTCGGACTATTATCCTCATCTTTGTCGCCATATTTATTACAATGTTTCGGCCGTTGTACGCTCCGGCCTTCTTCAGGTGGTTGGAATGTCGAACTTTATTTCGCTCACTGGGGTAGACTGTTCTAGTTCCACGTGCCATATTTGATGGATGTCAGTTATCAGTTATCTCATGTTAATTTCCCTCTGAAAGTTCTCCACTGCCTTAGCCGAGTATTGAACTCACATTCTTTGGGTCACTGGATCAAACTAACGCCTTTATCCACTGTGCCCTGTGTCCTTGGCACGTGGAACTAGAACAGTCTACATCAGTGAGCGAAATAAATGGTTCAGTTCGACCTTCCAACCACCTGAAGAAGGCCGGACCGTACAACAGCCGAAATGTTGTAATGAGTATGACGACAAAGATGAGAACAATAGCCCGAATAATGTAAATAATAGTAAAATATTGTTGTTAAATTAAATTCCAACACATGAACATTATGGTGATAAAACATTGTTTTAATCAAATTTGGGCCCCTTTGGTATGCTTTTTTTAGCGAACAAGAGGAGGCAAAGTTCATTATTTCATAGTTTATTTAATAAACCATGAAATAAACCTTTATATAAATTTACTCGATATTTTCGTTTTATTTACATAATAATTGATGGAATTAAATTCGATTTTAATATTTATCATATTTGAAGTCTATTTTTTTCTTTAAAAGAAAAGGGAAAAAACCCTCCCCCCTTTCACTCTCACTCTCTCTCTCTCTTTCTCTCTTTCATTAAACTCTTTCTTCTCTCTTTTATTCCTCCTTCCTCCCCTTCACTTAACGCGGCCATACTTTCACTCCTTTGTTATCGAAGGAAATCCCTCCAATCCAGTGGAGTGATTATTCTCGTCCATTGAAATGCTTTAAACTCCGATGACGTCACAGAGCTTTTCCGCTCACTTCACGAGAAACAACACGAAGACATTTTTTTTTTTTTTTTGGTCTCCGAAATTTGCAGAGTCAGTTATCAAGTTTTTTGGTCGACATTTTTTTAACCTTTTCTGACTGCTGTTTGCCGCCCGACTGATTTTTGGAATTTACCTTTTATTTGTTGATCTACATTTTTGGTTGACTTTGTTTTTTATTACCGCTTTTTTTACGACTGTTTTGAAAAAGATTTTGATTTTTTTCTTCTTCTTTTTTTACCCTTCCCATTTTTTTATTTTTACCCCCTTATTTTTTGCTCTTTTTATTTTTATTTCTTTTAGTTTTCCTTTTTGACTTTGATTTTCTTTTATTTCTCTCTTAAATATATCTCCGTTTTCTTTATTTTGTAACACCTGTCAGTGTTTCGCTTTATTTTTTGACTAACTTTAATTTCTTGTTATTTCTTTAATTGTTTCTTTCCCCTTAATATCCTTTAAGTTTTTCGTGTTTTTTTTTAATTTTTTCTGTACTAAATTTGTTCCAATCTTTGTATTGTCTAATTTGTCTACTTAGTTTTTTTGTTTATTTGTTTGACACGCTTCATAACGTCAACCATTTTAGTTTTTTGTAACTAGCTCCGTCTATTGTTGAAAGTTTCATATGTTCTTTGTTTTCCTTTTTCTTTGTCTAGCATTTTCGTTTTATTGTTTATTTTCCTTTTTTTGTGTGTGTGTTTTTTAATTTATTGTTTCGCATTTAGGCGAACTTTGTTCTTTTATTTTTTGTCTATTTTTATTGTACTTCTTTAAAATTTGTCTTGCTTTTAGGTGAACTTTGTTTTATTTGTTCTCTTTCGTCATGTCATTTTTTGTGTATATTTATTTATTTGTTCTTTGCTGTCTCACTTTCGGGCGAGCTTTGTGTTTTATTTCTAATATTTGTCTGTCACCTGCTGTTTTTTTTTTGTCTGTTAATTTTTCTTTTTTTAGTTTCGCCTATAAGGCGGAATTTATTAAATATTTTCCCCCTTTCACCCCTCCCCTTCCCTTTAAAATGGATAAGAAGGAAAAAAGTACCTTCTTTTTTATTTTTGAAAAAAAAAAGACTAAAATGGCTTCTTTCAGAAGATCAGTAAGGAAGCATTTGTTTAACCCGAAAAAAGATCCACCCTATAAGGATAACATTGAGGAGTATCCAGCCTTAGCTACTATTCCTACAAATGAGGAAATTATAGACGTTCTCAAAGAAACATCTACATCTACGGAGGCCGAAAAGAGCAACAGCGTAGACCAATTAAAAGACAACTTAAGGGTATGAGAAGTGATAATACAGAGGCCAGGGAATCGCCCTCTTGTTGGAAGTCCCCTCCTAAATGCATTATCGATATTGCGGAGTTCTTGGAGCGTGCCAAGAGTTACGCACGCCTTGTCGGAGAAGTTGGGCTCCTTGAGGATCCAGTTGAACTTAAGAAAATAGACAAAAGAATAGTGTCAGTTTTCGTCGTCGACAAGCGTTCCCGCAAAATTTGTCGTTCGACGAAAGACACAGTGGTGAAATCGCTGGAGTCTCTGGGGTTCAAGCCACTTTGAATCGTTAAAGGCAAGGGCTTTTTGATGTGGGACGTGCTGTTACCCACCGCCGAAGACTGCGTAAAATCAACAAGCAGAGAACTAATTACCAAGGATCTTCCTACAATGTACGATGGCTGGCGAAGGACCAGTAGCAGTATATGTGGTCCCTCCTCGGGTATCGGGGAGCACCTGGCGGCTTTATTGTCCCAGTACGGCGAGATTTTGAGTGCTTGTGATAGCCTGACTGGGGGATGAAGCTTCGACATTATGCTAGATCGTAAGACCTTCGTCTCCATCTGTCTTGACGTTGGTGGCCTGAAGCTGCCGGTTATCGTGTGAGTGACTGATCAACTCTCCTCTCCCTGTCCAGAGAAGAAGGCCTCTGGAAGTCAGGTCCCAGTCGACCAAACTCCCCCTCTGACCGAGTCTTTAAAAACCGCCTCGCCTGTAATGGGCATGCTAGCTACCGTGACTGAAGTGGTCAAACCCCCGGTTGGGCCATCACCAAAGTCTCCATTTCCTGAAGAGCTTTCTTCCAAGTGTAGTTGAAGAGAAGGGAGATATGGAGTGGCAGGTGGCTGGCAGGGCCAGAGGGAAGCGTCAGACAGCGGGTCCTTAGTCCCCTGAAGCCCCTAGGACTAAAGGCACTTACAGCCCCTCTCCTTCTGACAACAGTAAGGGCGACACCCCGGCCTCCATTCTGACCTTCCAAGATTTTCAAAAAAGTTACGACCCAGGGTATGGGAAAACTGAAAAAATCAAGGACCTTAAGCTTAAGTTAGACCAACAAAGAAAAACAAAAACTTTTCCATCCAAGAAAACTCTTCCCAAATCCACTACTCAGTCTCCTCCGACCCACCACTTTCTCCCCTTCTTTCAACCCCTCTTTGTAGAGAGAAGCCATCACTTGCGTCTAATTCCACTCCTTTTGCTCAATCTCCAGTCCCTCTCAGTAGAGACCTCAGTCTTTTTAGACAATCATATACACACCGCCACGCCCCCATTAAATCTTCAGAAATGCCCCGCCACTAAACAAAATGCATAGAAGCCCCGCGCAGGATTCAACGGGAAGAAAAACAAACCCAAAGTACATATACAATCCCGGTTCAGACATTTGCAAAATATCTCCTTTACAAGCGGAGAAAGCCAGGGATTATGTTAACAGGATAAAAAATTTAAAATACCAGTTATCGATCAAGCAATTTGGGGACAAGGATATAGAAGAACCGCTTCATTTCCCAAATGCTCAAAGGATTCTTACAGTGATAAGATCTGAGACAGGGGTTAAACAAGTCTGGTCAATGTTGGACGAAGCTATAGCTTCATTCAAAATGACCCAGCCCATCGCTATCGTCCAGAACGATAAATTGAGAAAAATGAAAAATGCGGGGAGGGTCCCGGTTTTTGTTCACCCCTCCCACTATAGATCACTAAAATTGACTTTCCCCTGGGATATCGGCGGAATCTCCCAAGTCGGTAGCATCAAGATGGACCATGGGTCTATGGGGGAGGCTGTCGGTATCTTTACCCCGGCCATGTTCAATTCAGGAAATCAACCCTAATCGGTCTTCTCTATGGCTCTCTGGTTAGCAAGTGTAAATGTCCGAGGTCTGAGGTCGGAGTCTCGCAGGGCGAGGCTCTCTCGCGAACTTCAGCGTCTCGGAGTGAATGTTTGTTGTGTACAAGAGACCCGATTTACTTCTCATGAACGTGAGGACGTGCTGTCTAAAAGGTTCTCCCTTTATTCAGCATGTTTTGATGGTCGTTCGAGGGGGTGTCACTTGGCTAGTGATTAAGTCTTTGAAGGCTGCATGTACTCTTGTCTTCGCAGATCCGACGGGAAGGCTTTGCGTGCTGGATGTTACTATAAAGGATAAGGCTGTACGACTCCTTGGGGTTTATGCGCCCAATAACCATTCTGAGCGGCCTCCTTTGTTTCGGCAGATCGAGCCGTTCTTGACAACATCTCGTTGGGTAGTTTTAACGGGGGACTGGATTGCCGTCCTTGACCCTGATATAGATCGTATAGAGTAAAAACCGGGTACTAACAACCGGGACGTGAAACCATTTCGGGACTTTTATCGATGCGTTTGACCTTGTCGATAAGTACCGGAATGAGCACCCTGAGGAGGTAGCATGGACTTGGACAAATAGTGGCAACTCGGCTCCTAGGACGCTCGCTAGCTACCTCCAACGAGTCTTAGTTAGGAGAGTCGATGTAGGGCTCTTAGGGTGTCCAAGCTTCCATTATATAGTTTATTCGGATCATAGGCTTGTCCGGGTCCGTGTAAACTGTTACTGGAAATTTAACTGTTCATTATTTGGTGAACAGGATTTCCGAAACCAGCTGCTACTAATGATAAAGAAGGAATTGACGGGGGCAATTTTAGGGAACGCCTGGTGGGATAAATTAAAATCCAAAATTAGAACGTTTGCTACCGATTTTAGTCGTCGACTCAATCTAGATAGATTAGCAGCGCAAACGGCTTTAGAACAAAAAGTTGATCGGGCAGTGAAATCCCGTAATAGTGGGGAAATAGCCTTAGCTAAGGCAGAGTTGTTCTCCTTGCTTATCAAGAAAAATCAAGCTCTGGTAGTTAGGGCTTGGTTAAAAAGAATATCCTCTGAGGCGATGAATATGGCCGCTGTGCAGAGGAAAATCGGAGTTCGTCTCGGATAAGCGGACCGTGACTACAAACGCGGGCATATGCGAGTCCTTTCGAGATTACTTTCAGGAGAGCCCAGTCTGAGCTGTGCGCAGTTCGACGCCTATTTAGCCAATTTTCCGTGCCTCGAGGCAGCTGAAGCGGTTGGGTGCGAGGGTCCCATCACAGAGAAATCTGGGAAGCGCTAAAATAGGTTGGCCTGGATAAATCTCCGGGACTAGATGGTCTTCCCTACGAAGTTTTACATTGAGGAAGTCGCCCGTTTTTCTTCCTTTGCTTGAACTGATTTTTAAACAATGGATGAAGCAGGGGTCTATACCTTAAAACTTCGCCAGGGGTGTGATCAATTTGCTGCGTAAGGACAAGAACCGCGGGGATGGGTTAGATAACTTTCGCCCTTTAACCAGAGTTAAAGATTTTGGCGAAGATCTTAGCCAACCGTTTGCAGCTTGTCCTGTCTAGTCTGATTGGCTCCGAACAGACTAGTGCTGGGAAAGGCAGGACTATTTAGGATAACCTTCATATGGTACGCTTGATCTTAGAACAAGTCGACAGTGAAGTCGCGCTGATTAATTTAATCCAAGGCCTTCTATAGGGTTGACCACCGGTTTCTGGAGGCTGTCCTTTCAGCGGCCGGTTTCGGAGCCGACTTTCTCTCCTGGATCCGACTTTTGTATGCGACCCCCGGTGCGCTGGTGGAGGTGAATGAGGTAAGATCGGAGCCTTTCGTATTGTCTCGCTCCATTCGTTAAGGTTGTCTGCTTTCGCCTTTGCTTTACGTTCTTGCGTTCAAACCTTTCCTTCGCAAGTTAAAGGCGAATCCAGTCCTGCGCGGTATTTCCCTGCCTGGGGCTACCACCTCAGCCATGTATTCTGCCTATGCTGACGACGCTTCGGTTCTTGTGTCGAGCAGACCCGAGATTGACGAAGTCAGCAAAGAGATCAGTGGTTATGAGATGGTGACAGGGGCCAAGATCAACCGTGATAAGTCTGTTGACTTGCGGTTAGGTGCATGGAAGAGAGTTTCTCTTTCCGGGCCTTTCCTCTGGGCGGATAAGCCGGTCAAGATACTCGGCGTCTGGTTCGGTCCTGACCTTCAGTTGGAAATGAATTGGTCGGAGGTACAAGGGAAGGCCGGGATCGCGGTTAATCTGTGGTCTCGGAGGAAGCTTTCCTTGAAGGGGAGAGCGGAAGTATGTGTTTTACACATCTACCCGATTCCCCTTTACCGACTTTCTGTACTTCCACTTCCGTATACCACACTAATGTCATTAGTAAGGCTCTTTTTCTCTTTCTTGTGGAGAGACAAGGCCGCTATGGTATCTCGGGAGATCTGTTGCCTTCATACTGCTGAAGGCGGTTTGGATATACCTAGCATTGAGATTCGTCAACATATGTTTCGCATCGCCTTACTAGACCGAATGTGTCGCAAATCGGATGAGGAGGCCGCCTTCTGGCGGGAAGACGTCCGTAGACACTTCCCATCCCTGAGAAGTGTGCACTCGAGCAGGGAGGAGGCCCGCCGTTTACCCCGAGCCGAATGCTTCTTCTATCGCGAATGTCGAGTTGCTTTGAAATGCCTCTTATGGGCGTCGGATGGCCTCTCCAACGCCCAGGCGTTGTCTCATAGGGTATTGTATCAACTGGGGGGGCGTTCGTTATGATCTAATTGACGAGCTCGTTCTTACGGAGCAGGAGATTCGCTCGATATGGCCTTGGGCACCTGGGTTGAAATGCCACAATAATGATGTATCACTCACCTGGCTGGTGATTCGTGGGGCCCACTGGGTCGCCAAAAGACTTTGTTCAGCGGGCTTGGAGAAATCTCCAAACTGCCGATGTTGTATTGGGGAAGTCGAGACCATTGGTCACGCCTTCTTTAATTGCAGGGTGGTAGCGCCGTTGTGCAGGTTTGTTGATGGTCTCATGGTCCGCATGCTGCAGGGTAAGTTCTTTGTCCTTGAGGCCAGTTCTGTTTGTAGCAATGTGGTGCCGCAGATGACGAAGGCTGAACACTATGCGTTCTTTTGCTTACTTCTTGTAAAATATAACAATTTCGGCCCATTTTATTTTGACCTTTTTTTTATTTTATAAAAAAAGATTTTTTTTTCTTTCAAAAAATGGCTTCGTCTTTGAGGAATGACATAAAAGAATCGAAAAAGCTCCTCGTCGATTTGCAGGAAGATGTCGAAGATTTCGAAAAGCGGCTTCGTCGAGGTATTGAATGGACGAAGAAATCGATTGAACAATTATCAATCGATTGCGAATTGAAATGCTCAAAAATCTGGCAGGAATTCGATGAATTTCTGGAAAAGACAAGGATGAAGGCCGCAGAATTGTGCGACCAAATGAAACGAAAAACAACCGAAGAAAAAAGGAAATGGCGCCAATCCCTCTAAGAGAAAGAAAATCTCTTGGAGGAGGCGAGAAAATGGCTCATGGATTTGCGCCATTTTTTAGTCGCCATCAACGACGACAAGAACGTTGTTTCTGGTGTACGGTCGGTGGGAGTGGAGCTTTCAGGGCGGCTCCACGAATCGTTCTTTCCTGTGGAGGAAGGTCATTTTTGGTGACCTTTCCAGAATGGTGCCAAAGATCATTGAACCAACTTCAAAAAGAAATCGTCGACTTCCCGATAGAGACATGGCACCCAAGGGAATTGGAACTTCAAAGCGAATTCTGCCTGCAGGATTTCAACATGCGGTCGATTCGGTCGATTGCCGTCAGTAACGAAGACGGTCACGTGTTTATTGTTGATTGGAGCGACGATTCGATCAAGGAATTCGGCGAGACTGGGGAATTCGTCGTCCGATGTCCCTTGAGGGACGAAAGATTCTTACCCGTGGACATTTGTTTTCTTTCTCAAGACAATTTCGTTGTTTGTGGGTGGGAGACGGGGGGGGTGAGAACTTTTGTTTTTGGCGCGAAAAAATGTCCGCCATTTTTAGAAAAAGAAAAAAATAATCAAAACAAAAGAAAATCGATTTTTATCTTTGTGTCAAAACAACGAAAAGATTTTCGTTTGTGATTTGGATTTTAAAGAAATTTTTTGTTATTCTAAAGAAGGAAATGAAATCAAAAGAATCCAACTTGAGAAATCTCTGGGGTCGGGTTCTCTCCCCATCCTTCGTGCCGATCCCTCGACCGGGAATTTGTGCGGGACAAGATTTGGAGAGTCGGAATTCTTCGTCTGCAATGAAAATGGCCAAATTCTTCATATCGTCAAAACTGAGAAAGAAATTTTCGATTTTTATGCAGACAAATTTTGTCAGTTTTATTTTTGCAACAGGGAAGGAGTTTTTTCTATCTTACCAGAAAAAGTTCTGTACAAATTTCCGAAAAAATCTGAAAATTGGCCGAGGATTTTTGTTTCTGGAAAAAAAAATTGTTTGTTTGTTTTAAAAACGACGGAGAAAAATTAATAAAAATTTTGAAAATTAATAAAAAAAAAATTTGAATTTTTTCATGAATTTTACAAATAAAATTTATTTTAATTAAAATTCTTTTTTTTAATTTATTTAATAGAAATTTTGAAAATTTATTTTAAAAAATAAAATTTAAAAACTGTTTTTTTGTTAGTCATTTTGATGTGAATAAATTTTCGTCTCTAAATTTTTGCAAATGTTTTTCATGATTTTTCAATATGAGTTCAGGTAAATAAAACGATAAAATGTTCATTTTTCGTAATATGAGTTGAGGTAAATAAATATTAAAAAAACATGTCTAATAATGGAACTAAAGATAAAAAAAATCGATTAAAATTGATCGATTATTTTTTTTTACCGAGGAATTTCTGAAATTTTTACATTTTTTTGATAACAATATGAGATGAGTCCAATTATTAATAATATTCTTTGTTTCTTCGGGGTGGGGTGGGGTGGTGGTCATATTGATGCCCCAGGGTAAAGAAAGATTCTTTTTAAAAAGGACATTTCGTGGGTTCCAACTGGAAGAGTAGAGCGATAGGAAAGGGTGTGGTCCGTCTTTACCGGACGGAAAATGACTTCAAGAGAGGTGTGTGTGTGGGGTGGAGGGTTAAAAACAACAACAAACATCATCATCATCATCATCATTAATAAGAATTAAGAATAAAATCAGATGAAATAATATCACTGATAAAATTCTTTCTTTTTCACAAACTCTCTCCTCCTCCCTCTTCTAAATTTCATTCCTCCCTCTCCCTTAAACTGTTTTTCTCTCTTTCTTTTCTCCACCATCACCGACAATTTCCCTCTCTCTATATTTGCTTATGTTTTTCAAAGCCATCCAATTCTGCCATTTTTCGATGACCGCAAACGAAAGAAAAAGAAAAATGAAAGCCAATCGATCCAAGAGAAAACTTAAAAAAAACTCATTTAGATTTCTAATTAAGTCAATCAAATGTGAGGAGGCTGTGGAGAGCCATAAACCCATTATATCTAGAAGAGAGATGAAATTGAATAAGGAAATATATAAAAATAGATCCGAGTTGTAGCCATATTTACTGTTTTATTAATGCATTTTCTTTCTATTAAACAAAATATTAAACTGAATCCAATTATTTGGTATTATAACGAGGTGGTTGAACACAAACGACGGAAGATTTCCATTTTTGCCAGTTTTGAACAGTTGCAGTAAACAATTTATATATATATATATATATATATATATATATATATATATATATATATATAGTTTATGAAAAACTAAGTAATCCGTATGGGTAAACCTAAGGAGGAAAAAATCTAGAGAGCTCAATGTAAATCCAGAGCAAATAATTTAAATAAAAACAGACCACTTTAAGGTTCCATGTAACAATTATTTCACCACAACCCTTTTAAAAGGACTGCGGATCACCAGACTTTACTTCCAAACAAAAAATGAAAAGAAAATTTACACATTTTTGACGGGCAGTATTAAACATGTAAATTAACGAAGTGAAGAAGTGAGTGAGGAGAGAGAGAAGACATGAGTGAGTTAGCAGACATTGACACATTCAAACGGTTAACTTAACGGAAGTTATATATTGACATCGAAGGGGTAGAGAAGAAAAAACCCATAGAGAGAAAAAGAGGGAAGGCAGTTAAGAGAGATGTCACTAATTTTCTTTGTAAAAAAAAAGGCTAGAAACAGACGCTGTTATTTTGCTTTACTTTGAAAGTGTTATTTTGGGGGTTCATAAAGATTATAATGTTTGATATAAATTTCAATTAATTTGATGTTTGTTAGTGATTTAAATTTTTTTTAAATTTTGGGGATTTTCTATGAAATAATCGATTAGAAAAATATTCATAGAAAGTACATTAAAAGAATAAAATTTTATTTTAAAATATAAGTTTACCTCTGGTAATCTTTTTTTTAATCTCCTTAAAAAATTTTTATTATTGCTTATTAAGTTGACATCTCTATCCGTTTGAATTTAGTCAACTGTCAGCGAACGCAGTTTGGAGACTTTACCAAACGCGCTGAACAAAGTCTTTTGTCGGCCAAGAGACCTCCTTGGACCACCAGGTGAGTGATGCCTCAGCATTAGGGAGACATTTCAACCCGGAAGCCCAAGGCCATAATCAGCGAGCTTCCGGTTTCGTCAGACCGAGATCGCCTATCAAATCATCCTGAACGCCCTCACCCTAACACCTGATGTAATGCCTTAAGGGACAACAGCTGGATATCGGAGAGGCCATCCGTCGCCCCAAAGAGGTACTTGAGTGCAAGCCGACATTCGCGATGGAAGGAACACTCGTGTTTGTGTAACCTGCAGGCTTCCTCGTCGCACGAGCGTACACTTCTCAAGGATGAAAAGTTCTTGCGGGAGTATTCCTTCCAGAATTCGTCATACACATCCGATCTAGGTAAGAAATGCGACGCGTATGTTGACAAGACTCAACACAAGGCACCCAAGAGACCGCCCTTAGAAGGGTGGAGGCAACAGATCTCGCGGTTCACCTTGGTGGACTTGCCTCCCAACAAGAAGGAGAACAAGAGCCATACGAATGCCAATAAAGTGTCAGACGGAGGTTGAAGTACGAAGAGTCGGTAAAGGAGAATCGGGTAGATGTACGAGGCACATACTTCCGCCCTTCGCTTCAAGGAAAGATTCCTCCGGGACCACAGACGAACCTCCAATCAGTTCATTTCCAACAGGAGATCGGAACTGAGCCAGACGCCGGTCCGTCCGTCCAGAGAAAAGATCCGGGAAGAGAAACTTGCCTCCACAAACACAACCGCAAGCCAACAGATTTATCGCTGTTGATCTTGGCCCCTGTCACCATCTCATAGCCTCTGATTTCTCTGCTGACTTTGTTAATTTCGGCCATGCTCGACACAAGAACCGATTTTGGCTCTTTTTTTTTTGTTTGTTTGTGGCCTTTAATAACAATGTCTGGGCGGTTGGCTTTGATTGTTCTGTCAGTGTGTATTGTGTAGTCCCATAGAATTGTAACAGGTCCTATCTCCGTAACCGGGTCTGGGTGGTGTTCATACCATTTTCTTTCAGTTTCCTTCCCGTAGACGTTGCAGATTTTCCAGTGCAGATCTGTACCTGGTCTGTTGTATTTGTCTTTGCTGTCTTCTTTAAGTATTTTGCAGTTTCAGCCGGTGTATTGTGCTGTACTTGCATTTCTGCGCCCATTTGAATCTCCATTTTGAATTTTCTGGCTACTTTTATTACGGAGTAAAGACACTAATTTCATGTTCCTTGACGCATACCATCTTCCAGTCTTCTGTAGTTTCCAAGTATCTTTGGAAGCTAATTGTTGTAGTTTTGTAGGACAGTTCTTGTTGAACTAATCCTCTGCCTCCTTCGGATCTGGGCACATACAGACGGTCAACATCAGCTTCGGGATGATGCATGCGGTAAAAAGTGAGAATCTTTCACGTTTTGGCGTCCATTCGCTTAATTTCAGCTATGGTTCAATTAAGGACATTAAAATTGTATTGCACCACAGGGACAACCAATGTGTTTGGGGCTGATATTCTGTTTTTTGAGTTTATCTCGGTATTTACTACCAGACGTACACGCCTGTAGTACTCCTTTCTTATCTTCTCCTTCATTTGGGGGTGTTGTATGCCATCTCTTCGCTAATTCCTAGGTACTTATAAGCTTCATCATGCTCCAGTTCCCTAATCTTTGTGACAAAATCTAAATCTATTAAGGGTGTTTCTGTAATTCTACCTTTCTTGAATGTTACTTCTACACATTTACAATACTGAGGAGGCCCTTCAACTCATTGTTGACTTTGGCAAAGAGTTTGAGATCATCCATTATTATTATTATTTCCCTTAATTTCCTTCCAATGAAATGCCTTAAACTCTCATGACGTCACAGCGCTTATTCCTTCTTCTTCCCCTTCACTTACCGCCTCCCTTGTTATCTTAGGAAACGCAATTTTTATGGCATGGGGTGCGTTTTGTAGGCCCCCTCCCCTTGAGAGAATACGGTATTGTGGTGTACAGTGGATTGAGTGGTGACGGGCGAGTTTTTATGGTGAATGTGTAAATTGTAATGATTGAATAGGTCGTGAATTGGATTAGCTAGGTATAGGATAGTCAGTGTTGACCAGTCTTAACCCCTCCCCATTTTAGGTCATGTGCCACAATTTTATTTTTTAATACAATAGATTATCTTAGGAAACGCCTTTAGTCAAGTGGTTTGATTATTCTCGTCCAATGAAATGCCTTACACTCCTATGACGTCACATTGCTTTCCACTTCACATTGTGAGAAACACCACCAAGAAGAAGACATCATATTTTTTGGTTTCCCAAATTTGAAGAAAACTAATTTCACTCAAGTGAAATCTGAACGAAATCAATTGTAAGTCAGAATTTTTATATCGATTTTCAAATAATCGAAATTTCTCAAAAGTTTTCATCAAAACAACGAGAATTTCTACTTTTTTAGAGACAAAGTTTTTCTAAATTTCCTTTTATTTTTTCCATTCATACAATTTTATAAAAAAATGTCTGATCCGAATTCTGTGGTAAAATAAATTCGTTTTTAGTTAATATTTTTAATAAATTCTTTGCAATGATATCAGAAAGATTAAAGATGACTTTTATTTCTGTTTATTTATGTCGTCTGCTTATTTCTTTTCTTTTTATCATTGAATTTGTTTTCTTTGCTTTCTTCCTCCTTCTTTATTTCGTTTTTAGACAATCTGTAATATTTCCGAAAATTTAATTCACTTCTTGGCACTACTTAAATATATTGGTCCATTTGTAATATAATAGTGAACATTGTAATTGGGTGGGGGAATTATTTTTTGTAGATTAAAATTCATTGGATTTTCTTCAAGCGACAACGACATTTTTCAGAATCGAAAAATTATTGATTACTTTTCTATTTATAAAGTAAGGGTCTTGTTCATAATATCAATATTGTGTAAAAATCGATCCCTGATTTTGGAAGAATTATTGAACTTATTTGTTATTTACAAATGTTATGTTTGAAACTCGTCCTTCATCAGAAATATCTGCATATTTTTCGCTACTTTTTTTTTTAGTGGAGGGGGTACGCAATTCACAGATGAGGAATTTTTTTTTTTTCATCATAAATGAAGAATAAACAGATAAAGAATTTGATTAATTTAGGCAACTTTTTTTAGTCAAAAAATTATCTTTTTTTTCTTCTTTAAACACAGTTTTTGTAATAAAATAAATATTTAAAAATGTCTAATGTGTAAAAGTCAGGGATCGATTTTACACTTTATCGATATTATAAACAGGGCCCTCTTTTTTCTGACAGTCGCTTAAGAGTCTAATCTACAAAAATAGTTCACAGCCCCTTACCCCCCCCAATTACCAATTTTGCCATAAAAAAAAAGAATCGTTTCGTAAGCATACGATAAAATGTCGCCATTTTGAAATTTCTTAAAGCGTGTCCAGTGAAAGGAACACTAAAGCAATTTAATTAACATCTGAATGTTGAAAATGATTGTGAAGACAGAAAATTGGCTCTCTCTCTCTCTCTCTTTGTTTCTTTTACCCTTTATTTCCTTCCCTTTCTCGATTTGCTCTTCTCTCTCTCCTCTCATTTCTGCAACGATAACCACTCTCTCCTTTCTTTCGATTTCTCTCCCTTTTTCACTCACTCTGTCACACTACATTTCCTTCTTTCACTCTCTCTCTATATATATTTTATTTCTCTCTCTCTCTCTCTCTCTCTTCCCCGTTCCCCACTCTCTCATCTCTTAACCCCCTCCCACCTTTATTTATTTGTGATTTTAGAAGAAAACTAAAAATTTTCAAGAAATCGATTTGTTTTTCTTGTAAAATCCAAAAAATTCGAGTCACTTTATTTTCGTTTTTAGAAATCGACTTTTTATGGTTTTGAACTTTGGCCTTTTTTTTATTTTTCTAAAAAGATATTTTTGTCTTTGCAGTTTCAGATTTCATTTTTCCTGAACGAAATCTACAAATGGCTTCGTCGTCTTTGAGGAATGAAATAAAGGAAGCGAAAAAGCGGCTCGTCGTCTTGCAGGAAGATGTCGAAGATTTCGAAAAGCGGCCCCGTGAAAGGATTGAACGGACGAAGAAATCGATTGAACAATTATCAATCGATTGCGAATTGAACTGTTCAAAAGTCTGGCAGAAAATTGATGCGCTGAGAGAAGAGGCACGGATGAAGGCCGAAGAATTGTGTGACCAAACGAGACAAAAGATGACCGAAAAACAGAGCAAATGGCGCCAATCCCTCGAGGAGAAAGAAGAGCTTTTGGAGGAGACGGAAAAATGGCTCATCGATTTGTGCCATTTGTTAGGCGACGGCAACGTCGACGAGGACATTGTTTGTGGTGTAGAACCGCTGAGAGCGAAGCTTTCATGGCGGCACCACAAATCGTTTGCTCCTGTTGAGGAAGGTCATTTTGTGGTGACCTTTCCAGAATGGTGCCAGAGATCATTGGACCAACTTCAAAAAGAAATGGTCGACTTCAGAGATGGCCCTCCAAAGCGAATTCCGCCTTCAGGATTCGAACCTGGGGTCGATTCATTCGATTGCCATCAGCGACGAAGACGGTCACGTGTTTGTTGTCGATGGACGCGATAAATCGATCAAGGAATTGGGCGAGACTGGAGAAGTCGTCGGCCAATGTCCCCTGATGGGTAAAGGAGAGATATTCTTACCTTGGAATATTTGTTGTCTTTCAAAAGACATTTTGGTTATTTGTGTTTCTTTGTGGTTGCCTAGGTCGAGGGGAGGGAGACTTTCGTGGTTGTTTCCGATTATGTCGCCGTGGAGGGGAAGACTTTTGCTTTTGGCGCAAAAAAGTCCACAGTTTTTAGAAAAAGTAAAAAACAGAAAATCTTTTTTCTTTGTGTCAAATGGACGAACAAATTTTCGTTTGTGATTCGGATTTTGAAGAAATTGTTTTTTGTTTTTTTTTTCTAAAGTAGGAAAGAAAAATGAAAACATTGAAAGTTGAGAAATCTATGGGTTCAGTTTCTCATTCTCGCTCTTTCCTTCGTGTGCTGATCCTACATCCGGGAATTTGTGGGGGAGATGTGAAAGAATGGCCGAAATCTTTGTCTTTAATAAAAATGGTCAAATTCTTCAAAAAGTGAAATTTGCGATTTTTGTGGAGAAGAATTTGAACAGATTTATTTTTGCAACTTGAAAGAAATTTTTCTCTTTTACCAGAAAAAAACAGAAACAAACTTGTGTGCAAACTTCCAAAAACATTTGAATGGGATCTCAGGAAGATTTTTGTTTCTCGAAAAAAAATTCTTTGTATGTTTTCAAAACGACGGAAAATATATAATGAATATTTTCAACATTATTTGAAAAAAATAAACTTTTTTCTGTAAATGAAAAAATTGAATTTCTTCAAGTATTATGCAAATAAATTCATTTTAATTAAAATTCCTCTTTTTTTTATTCAAATCTAAATAAAATATCTAATTTTAATTAATTTAAATCTGAATAAATTTTCGTTTGGAAACCTTTGTAAATGTTTTCAGTGATTTCCCAATATGAGTTTAGGTAAGTAATTAATAAAAACGTTCATTCTTCTGAAATATGAGTCGAGGCAAATAATCATCTAAAAAGAATAAAATTGTGTAATAATTTTATGAAAAAACGATAGATTTTACAAAATATTTTCGTTTGTTATCATTTTTTTCTCCGACCATCAAAGGTTGACAGAAAATGTGGAAGTGAATTTCATTGGATTTTCAAATGGAACTAAAAATAAAAAAAATACATTTTTAAATTTCTGCAGAAAAATAAAATTTCATTTTACCGATGAATTTCTTTTCCTTAAAAACTGACTTTTTTTCGTCTGATAACAATATGAAATGAGTCAAATAATTAAAAAGATTTCTTTCTTTCTTTCTCTTCGCTTTTTTTTCCCCGTACTTTTCCTCTAAAGAAAGAAACTCGAGGATCGACTTAAAAATTGGTTGGAGGTGGGGGATCATAAATGGAGTGACCCGTCAATTCCGGATGTCACCTTCCGCCCGGAGAAGGCGGGGGTGGAGCAAAAGCAACAGGGAGAGAGAAAAAATGGACTCAGAACAATAACAACAACAGAATCAACGTCATCATCATCATTTAAAAAATTAATTAAGAAAATGTAACAGAAAAAGAAAATATAAAAGAAATCTTCATTAATAGTTGTGAAATCTTATATATATATATATATATATATATATATATATATATATATACAAGAATGAATGTTTAAGTTTTCTACACGTATTTTGAAGTGTGCCTGTATTTTACACAGACAAACACATTGTGGATTTAGGCAACAAATGTTCATATATTATTAAATACAACAGACATTTTGGGTTGATTAATTTTAATGGTCGACTTTTCCAAATGACAAATAATTATTTAAAGACAAGGAAGAAATTCCGTCAAAAATTGTAATAAATGTATTATAATAAAAATTATAATAAAAATTATGAAAATAAAAAAATTAAAAATGATTTTAATGAATTTGGTATGAAATATCTTAACATTGGTATAATGAGTGACGTGAAGGGAAACATATAAGGCCTTTATAGGGAAACATATAGGGCTTTTGAAGGGAAACTTATAGGGCCTTTTAAGGGAAAATTATAGGGCCTTTTAAGGGAGACATATAAGGCCTTTGAAGGGAAACATAGGGCCTTTGAAGTGAAACTTATAGGGAATTTGAAGGGAAACATATAAAGTCTTTGAAGGCAAATATATAGGCCCTAATACTGATCATTATGAGAAAGGAAGAGATTTTAAATATGTAAAAATAAATGAAACATTAAATAAACATTCTATTCAAATTAAACATAAAATAAAGGGTCACTCACATCATAGCAGCAGAAACGAGCCTCGTGTGAGATAAAAGTTTACTTGACAGGAAATAAAACTTACACAAATAGCAGAAAAGCCTGGTAAATTTTATTTTAATTTGATCCAATTCATTTATGCTTTTTTGTGTGAATTGGTATATATTTTTTAGGTTACAATTGTTTTATGGCACATGTGATAAAAGGGAGAAGTCACTCTGTATGATTAGACGTGATATCACAGAGAGAAGTCAGACACGTGTTGTGCGTACCAAGGTTAGTGGCAAAGAGATTGAATTTAACGACTTTTGGCGGAATGTCCGTATTTCCAAAAGGAACAGTTTTTGTTGCATGCTGGAGAGTATTTTTATTATTTTTTATATTTCATTTAATTTGTTTTAAAAAGAGTTAAAATATAAATGTTTTATTTTATTTATAATTTTCATTATTATTATTTTTTTTTATCTATTTTAATAATAATGTCCCTACCAACTGTTTGTTTGGATGCCCTCCCGATATAGATGCAATCAGGCCATCGTATCTTCTGACCACCAACACTTCTTCACGCTACTGGTGACAGTGGAGAACTAATGGGATATTGCCAGTGTTTTCTGCTCTTTTGATTTGTGCTAAAATTATGGTAATCATAATAACAATGGCGCCTCCTTTGTCTTCTATTTTGATGACGATCGAATTATTATTGACTGGTCGCCTTTAGGATTGGATAATAAAATTTACGATGGCGGCCTTTCAATCGTTGATTACCCGCCAATACAGATATTTTCTCAACACAGTCAACGTTTGCACAAAGCTTTAGAATATTTTGTATTTTTTTTTTATATTTTTATATTGGGAATTTTTTTTATTATAACTTGAAGAAGACTGACATACAGTCGAAATATTGTTGAATATTTTTATACACTGCTTTTTTTTCTAAATTGCGCCATTATTTTTCTTTTCATTGTTATTATTATTAATAATATTATTTGTTTCTCATTTTGCAAACAATTTGGGATTTTTTACATTTATTAGTATTATTATTACTATTATTATTATTGTTTGTGATTATGACTCCTGTTTTTTTATTATGTAGAGTCGGGTCCAAACTATCGTCCTTTGGCTCTGTAGGGGAATTTCATTGACAGCACTTTATTTAATATATGGGATGTTCCTAGTAGGGCGACTTTTTGGGCGACTTGTATGTTTATATTACCTGGGACACTCTTAGTAAAATTTTCCATTCCTTTTCTCACGAGGCCCAGTGATCCGATTACTATTGGTACGACAGTCTCAGTCTTCATTCCACACATCCTATTAATCTCGATCTCCAGGTTCTTGTATTTGGATAGTTTCTTGATAATTTTTATGGACATGTTTCTCTCAGATCAAAAAGTCAATAAGTATAAACTTCCTAGATTTCTTGTCTTTTATAATAATATCAGGTCTATTGGCTTTTATTTCCCTGCCAGTTTGCATTGGCATTGGCATGTCCCAGAGGATAGTTATTTGGAGTGGGGGGGGGGCAACTGTGTCTGGTTGGTGGACATACCATCTTTCAGTGATTTCGATTTTCTGCTTTTTGCATATCTTCCAGTGCACATATGTTGCTAACTTGTTATGTTCGAATATATTCATTTCTTGCCAGTTCCGGACATCCTGAGATAATATGGAAGACTGTTTCATCATATTTTCCGCAGATCCTTCATTTCAGATTAGTTCCATCCTTGATTATGTGATTGTGATAGGATCTGATTGCGAGGCTGTGGTCCTGAGATGCAATAATTAAACCTTCTGTCTCAGTTATCAGGCCGGGGTTCACCTCAACCAATGATGTGTTTTCTGTTGATCCACGTCTGTTTCTTTCTTTCTTTTTATGTATTTCTAATCCAACGCCTTTTCTTCCCAGTTTTTTGTTGTCATTTCATTTGGCCAAGTTGTTTTGTCTTCTGCTTTACACATTTTGCATAGATTGTATTTGATTCACTTTTTGATGGTAGGATTCCAGTTCTATTAAATTGTTTCTCTAAGATCGCATCTTTTTTGTTGATGGAATGGATTTAGTGTTTTACTATTTGTAGAAGGGGGTCCCAATTCGATTTTATGAGGCAGGCTCGCAATTCGATTGTTGTAGTTTTTACAATTAATTCAAGTTGGATTTGACTTCGACCTCCTAAGCCTCTTGGTAAATACAAACTATCAACATCAGATTTCGGGTAGGGCATCCTCAGTTGGGTTCTGATTTCGGGCGGTGCATCCTCATTTGGGTTCTGATTCCGGGTGGTGTATCATTTGATTCTCATTCATTTTACAAACAATTTAGAATTATTTATATCATCATTATTCTGTTTTAACGATTGCTGGTTCGAACTTAAATTGATTACGGCCCTTCAAAGCTTCAGTTTTTAATGTCTTCATACCACATTTCATGTCTGTTCTTTAGAAATGGAATTGTTTCTCTGTTTTTTGCACATTTTTAATTCAGACTTGTCCTTCTTCTAGATTGAAGTTTGCCAATGAGATCTTCAAAGCCTAACATAAGATTCTTTTAATAATCCCATATCTCAAAGGAAGAAGAGATTCTTGCCTTTCTCAATGGAACACAAAAAGCCAAAATCTGAACTCAGCCCTTCAGTGTTTATTCTCCACGCTATTAGTTTTCACATCTCCTCATCATTCTCATTCCACGAAAATATTTTTTTTTTTTCTTATTGGAAATAAATCTTCCTGATGCCCCATCCTTACGAATA